TTAGCCTTGAGAGCAGTATCTAGGTGGAGGAGTCTTACTAAGCTTCAAAGCCCCCTGGATAGACACGAGAACATTAGAGCAAGTCACACGGAATGCCACGTTTTGCGATTGCGATCCCACAGTTGTGGATCCGCGGTCTATTCATACATGTTTCTAAGGCGCGGTCATGCTCCCTCCGACTAACATGTGGGTCGAAAAGGATTATCTAAGCTATATATGGCGTAGTGCAATATGATCCTACACTAGTACAGACACGCTAGCCCGGGGTAAAGCCGCTCTTGGCAACAACTTGTTGCCAAGAGCGGCTGGAGGAGGAAGAGCTCTTTCCGCCGTCTGTACCTGTGCAGGTCCTGGCTCGCTCCGTGCTCAGTATTTGGTGGGTCTGATTCAAGCCCAGGGGAGTTGCTAACATGGTCTGTTAGGAATAAGTGAGGTTAGTATTTTGTGCGTGCTTGGGTGTTGTGCGGGGTATCAGACGAGGCGCGGAACCTCTGTATCGAACAGGTGATTAGGTAAGCGGCCGCGGGAAAGGCAAGCTGCACGTTCCCGATCACAGGGAGGGGGGTCAAAGCCAAGGAGGCTAGGTGCGCCACCCACTCGGCAACAGAGCTCTACTGAGGCACAGCAGGTAGTCATGTATGGCGACGTAGGAATGCGCACAACAGCAGCTCAGGCAGCACCTATAGTCCAGAGCTACCTGGAAGAGCTCTACATCAAGATATCAAGGCTGCGTCAATACCAACAGGAGCATAAGCCGAGGCGGCTGGTTCAAAGTTATGCTACTGCTCATCAATGGATAGTTTCATGGATTTCCGATGACGACCTGTAGTCAGATGTTGGATATGCAATCACTGCCATTTGGGTGCCTTCTTGAATCCAACATGTCTCTCCAGCCGCTCCGCATTATTTTAAAAGATGTACTGCTTCTCATTGGTTGCCTTATCTGTCAGGCCATAAACCTTCTTGTTCACATCTCCATACTCTCTAACGGCGTTAGCTGCATTTGTACACTCATTGGCCTGGGATTGGCTTTCTCGATCGAGCCAAGATATGTTTAGATACCTTTGTGTTGCAGCGGTGTGATTGCACGATGGTATTGTGTAAGTCCACGATGCAATGAGAGGACCTACAGAACTCTGACCATCGCATAGTCGAGGTGGTTGTTTAAGTGTTGCATTGATTCTAGACGTCGCCGGCTAGCAATATGGTTGTGTATAGTGCTTGACGCTGCAACAATTGTTTTCTCGTAAGACTCCCGCTGATTTGAATGCCTTGCTAAGAACAGATTTAGACTCATGATCTCAGCTGGACTGCTGTCTTATAATTGGGTCCGCTTCTTCCCTGCTTCGTTCACGGCGTTTTACTTCTTTGCCGCCTACTTATGTCTGTTCCGCCAGATTTCTGGACATGCCGCAGGAGCCAACTATTACATTTGGACGTCAGCAATATACATCTGTCAGGTCATACTGGGAGTTGTGTGCACAGTGTATTGCGTTCCAAGTGTAGGGACCCCCGTACCTGTCATCACTCATATACTTACTATCAAGCAGGCTGCATCTTTCTTAGCTTCACTATCTTCACTATGGCCGGTAGCATCCTCAGTATTCTTCGCATACCTGAAGCCGCATATGTCACTAGGACTGATCTCATCCCAAAAGTCAGAATCGGAAAGATCCGAAGCACCGTGTATAAAGGTAGACAAAGACTTTGAATCTTTACTACTAGAGAACCGACCAGATCGCACGGTTAACACGGACGAGGAACAGCTGAAAATCACATTCACTGCTCTCGTGGAAATTCTGTCTGGAGAACTTCGTTGGTTATCAGATAAATGTCCTGCGCTATACAATGGGGCCCACGAAGCTCTAAACGGTATCGGAGTACGCTCTTCTTCGAAAAAAATTGAACGCATAGCAGCAGGTTCCATAGCAGCAGGTTCCATAGCAGCAGGTTCGCAAAGCCCATAGTCATTCACACTTCGCTTCTCTCTCTCCCATTATGTCCATGGCCATCTTGCCACCTTCGTATAGAGTTAGTCGAGTGCATATATCAAAGTTGGTAGTCTTACAGTCGCATAATAACCCCCAATGTATAATGGAATACTACCCAACTTAGGGCAAAAATTAGAATAAGTGCCACGAGTATCAACAGGAGGATCGCTTCGAAATTAAAAATCTCGAGAAGGTTCACATTCTGGAGCAGGAGGTTTAGACCTAATACTGTGACCACAATGATCAATAGAGCACTTCGCCAACCTCTCATGATGATGGCGGTTGGGGATAAAGTTTGGTTGTCGTGGGACTAGGAAGACTGGAGATACACAGCAGTGGGTAAGGACTGACGCCCCTGAGGCCGTACTGTCGATTTGTGGTTATGGTTGCTTCTCATGATTAGATGGAGACATGAGGGTAATAATGTAGGACAATTTCACGTGCTGTGAGGAGCTTCATAACGAAGGGAGAATGAGTGTGATGAAGGGTAGTTTTACGATGCTGGGGGGCTTTGCAGCCAAGCCTGGTGCCAACCTCGAGGGGGTCGACTCTGTTCACCAGCTGGAAAGAACGACACCCCCAGCCTACCCGCAGAGACTGCTCCCCGAGAATGACTAGAGTCACAACCTTAATTAGGCTGCACGGCGCATATCAGCGAGCACGGTATCAGGAATCTGGACAGGGATGGAAGGCCCGCCTACCTAG